AGAATTCTAATCCCCATTTCATAGACAAAGCCACTAAGGCATGAGAATTCAGCAGCACTTTGTTTGTAAGTCAACAGTGACACTTACTATTGAGTTAAACTTTCTTTGTCTCTCTATCCCACGGCTATGGGCTTTTTGTTAAAAGTGGTACATTACGACTGGGCATGGTGGCTCATGCCGGTAATCCCAGGACTTTGGGAGGCTGAGGAGGGCGATCACCTGAACCTAGGGGTTTGAGACCAGCCTGGCCAACATGGCAAAACCTCGTCTTTACTAAAAATACAAAAATTAGCTGGGCATGGTGGCAGATGCCTGTAATCCCAGCTACTCAAGAGGCTGAGGCAGGAGAATTGCTTGAACCCTGGAGGTGGAGGTTGCAGTGAGCTGAGATCGTGCCACTGCCCTCTAGCCTAGGCAAAAGAACAAGACTCCATCTCAAATAATAATAATGATGATAATAATAATAATAATGCATTTTTCATTTCAGTGTTCCCCTCAGCTGGCATGCTGTCACATAGTGGGAGTTAATGTTAACTTTTATTACAATTGTTATTATAGGTTATATATTCCTTATATAAAATGCTTGGGACCAGAAGTGTTTTGGATTTTGTGTATTTTTCTTTTTTTGAGATTTTGGAAAAATTTGCATTATACATACTGGTTGAGGATCTGTAATCAGGAAATTGGAAATCTGAAATGCTCTAATGTGCATTTCCTTTGAGTGTCATGTCAGCACTCAGAAAGTTTCAGATTTTGGAGCATTTTGGATTTCAGATTTTTGAATTAGGAATGCTTAACTTATACTTCTGAACATCAGTTCTAAACTTACTGTGTATGTGAATCTCAGTGCTGTGTTCTTTGGTTGGTTCTTTTAAGGGAAGGACAGTAACACGTTTGAACAAGGGGAGACTCCATTTATGCTGAGGGTCTTCTTAATCTCGCACTCTAGTCTCAATCATCATATCCTTAGCTCTGCAGGATACATGGCAGAACCTGGGAAGATGCTGACTTCCATTCCTCCCTCTTGCCTAACATCTCCCTTTCGTCTTATTTTCCTCTGTTGAACACATTTCCATGGAAGGCCCACAGGTGTTCAATGCAGCCATTTTCATTTTTTTAAGGTTAAATTGCAAAAATCCCTATTATGCCACCTACTTTACTTACATTTTTTTCTTCCCAACCCTCCATCTAATATAAAATAAGCCTTTAGGGTACTCATTGCATTTCAGCATTCTTTTTTCTTTTTTTTTACACAGAAAAATAAAAGAGATCCATCTTAATGTTTTCTTAACAAAATAGGTTTATTTGTAATTTGAGGGAATTGCCTCATTCCACCTCTTCACTGTACATTCACCATCTGAAGGATTCTGGAGGATTTGTCCCAGAGTTTCCGTGCACATTCGATTCGATTCAGCAAACATTCATTAAGTGCCCTCTAAATGCCAGACTCAGGGTTAAGCTCTCAGTATGCAAAGATGAATTGAACGTTGTTTCTGCCTTTGAGATGCTCATGGTCTAGATAGGGAAAGCAGAGCAGCATATGCAAAGCTGTTGTGAAAAGACATTTCAAAGAAGAGTTATGAGAGAAACGTGGCTAGAGTATAGAGGACTTGTGGGAAGTGGTGGAGATTGGGGCAGGATGTAAGTTTAGGACAAGTTGTGAAGGGACTTGAATGCCAAAATAAGTTTTTGAGATTTTGTCCTGATGTTTATGGGGTGACTTCTAAATGAAAAAATTAGATTTTTGTTATGTTTTGAGTCTGATGCAAAAACGGAGCTGAAATTCAAATAACATTCAATTAACTTTTAAAGTAGATAATTCAGGGGCATTCGGTGCATTCACAATGCTGTATAATGGCCGTTTTTCTCTAGTTTCAAAACTTTTTCATCACACCACAAAATACCTTACATTCATTAAGCAATGATTCTCTATTCCCCCTCCACAAATCTGCTTTCTGTGTCTATGGATTTGCCTATTCTGAGTATTCCAAATACAAGGAATCATACAATATGTGGCCTTTTGTCTGGCTTCTTTTGCTTAGCATAATGTTTTTGAGATTCATGTATCAGGACTCATATCACATATGTTGCATGTATCAGGACTTTATTTCTTTTCAGGGCTGAATCATATCCCATTGTATGTATTCAGTATAAGCTGTTTATCCTTTCATCCATTGATGGGCATTTGGGTTTTTTTGACATCTTTTGGCTATTGTGAATAGTGCTGCCATAAATGTCCATGTACAAGTCTCTGTGTGGACATATGTTTTCATTTATCTTATCTTTCTAGGAATGGAATTATTGGGTCAAATGAGAATTCTGTATTTAATTTTTTGAGGAGTTGCCAAACTCTTTTCCACGATGGCTGCACCATTTTATTTTCCCACCAGTAATGTACAAACTTCCCTATTGCTCCACATTTTTGCCAAATTTGTTACTTTCCATTTTTAAAATCATAGCCCTCCTATGGAGCTTGCAGTGAGCTGAGATCGCATCACTGCACTCCAGCCTGGGTGACAGAGCGAGATGCCGTCTCAAAAAAAAAAAAAAAAAAAAAAAAAAAAAAAAAAAATCATAGCCCTCCTAGTGGGTGTGAAGTGACATCTCCTTGTGGCTCTCTCCCTTCCTCCCTCCCTCCTTTCCTTCCTTTCCTCCCTCCCTCCCTCCCTCCCTCCTTTCCTTCTTTCCTTCTTTCTCTCTTTTCTTTTTCTTTTATTTTCCTTCCTTCCTTCCTCTTTCTTTCTTCTTTCTTTCTCTTTCTTTCTTTCCTTCTTTCTTTCTTTCTTTCTTTCTTTCTTTCTTTCTTTCTTTCTCTCTCTCTCTCTCTCTGTCTCTCTCTCTCTCTCTCTCTCTCTCTCTTTCTCTTTTTGAATGGAGTTTTGCTCTTTTTGCCTAGGCTGGAGTACAATGACACTATCTCAGCTCACAGCAACCTCCACCTCCCAAGTTCAAGTGATTCTCCTGCCTCAGCCTCTAAAGCAACTGGGATTACAGGTGCCCACCACCACACCTGGCTAATTTTGTATTTTTAGTAGAGATGGGATTTCAACACGTTGGCCAGTCTCGTCTCGAACTCCTGACCTCAAGTGATCCACCCGCCTCTGCCTCCCAAAGTGTGGGATTACAGGCATGAGCCACCACACCAGGCCTGATTTGCATTTCTTTAGTGACCAGTGTTAAACTCTTTATATGTGCTTTTTGGCATTTTTGCATACCTTCTTTGAGAAAAATCCCTATTCAAGTACTTTGTCTATGCTGTGTTTCACTAGACAGCTTTATTGAGGCAAAATTCACATACTATACAACTCATCCATTTAAAATATATAACAATTCAATGATATTAATATATTGACAAGATTGTGTGACCACCCCCAGAATCTAATTAATTTTAGAATATCTTCATCACTCCAACAAGAAATGAACTATCCGCCAGCAGTCACTACTAATCCCTCCACATCCCTCAAGCCCTTGGCAACCACTAATCCACTTTCCATCTCTATAGCTTTGCCTATTCTGAATGTTTCACATAAATGGAATAATATAATGTGTGGTCTTTTGTGACTTGTTTCTTTCACTAAGTGTAATGTTTTCAAGGTTCATTCATATTATAATATGATCAATACTTCATTCCTTTTTATTGTCAAACAACAGGCCATTGGAGGAATACACTACATTTTGTTTATCGGTTCATCAATGGATGGAAATTTGGGTTATTTATACCTTTTAGATATTGTGAATAGTGCTGCTATGAATGTGATTGTATATGTATTTGTTTGAGTACCTGTTTTCAATTCTTCTGAGTATGTACATAGGAGTGGGATTGCCAGATCATAAGGTAACTCCATGTTCAACTTTTGAGGAACCACCAATCTGTCTTCCAAAGTGGCTCCAACATTTTACATTCCCAGTGGCAATGCATGAGAGTTTCAATTTCTCCACATCCTCTACAATGCTTGTTATTAGCCACTCTATAGTGGCTTTGTGAAGTGGTATCTAGTGGTTTTAGTTAGCATTTCCTTAGTGAATGATCATTGTAAGCATCTTCTCATGAGGTTATTGGTTATTCATATGTCTTCCTTAGAGAAATGTCTACTTTGATTCTTTGTCCATTTAAATATTGGATTAATCATCCTTTATTATTGAATTATAGAAGTTGTCTATATATTCTGGATACACATCTCTTGTCACATGTATTATATGATTTCCAAATATTTTCTCCCATTCTCTGTGCGATCATTTCATTGTCTTAATACTATTACTTGTATTATAAACCTTTTACATTTTGATGAAGTCAAATTTATCTATTTTCTTTTGTTGCTTATGCTTTTAATGTCATTTCTAAGAAGGCTTTGCCTGACTCAAGGGCACAAAGATTTACCCCTATGTTTCCTTGTAAGAGTTTTATAGTTTTGACTCTCACATTCAGGTATATAATCCATTTTGAGTTATTTTTTGTGTGTGTAATGTAAGGAAGGGGACTGGCATCATTATTTTGTATGAGTTTGATGTGTTTGGATTCTCTACTTTAAGGAAAAACTAATGATAACTTTAGTACAGGTTAGATGGAGGTGCGGAGAAGAGATGAAAATTTGAAGAGGACAGTCAAGATGATAGGTTTGAGCTTTGTACTACCAGGGCCATAGTTCAGGAATGTAAATATGACTGAAGCCAGCTCAATGAGATGCAATCTCAAGACTTGCTGGAACTATTGGAATAAAAACTCTTTTTTTTTTAAGGATTATTATCTGTTTTGATAACTTAAGTCTCAAGCTACCAGTCTCTCTAAGTAGACAGCTTACTGGAAAATGGGTCAATAAAACGAAAAGCAAAGCCAATAGGTGGGGTGAGACACTGAGTTTGTTAACATTGTTTGAACTTTTGAAGCAATACTTGAAAATCTACTCTTGAATTTTCAGTTTTAGATTTTTTTCACTTAATTACCAAGTAAGTGCAGAATGGCACACACCTGTGTCTTGCTCCAAATACCCATCAACAATATACACTAGAGAAAGAATACATTTATTATAGTTTCCTGATCATTCTTTGAAGCCTTGATATGGCTGTTTCTCCCACTAGGAATGTCTTTTCTCCAATTTACTTGATCAACATTGCCTTTCCTTCAAAAATCATGAAAAGGCCTCAACTCCTCTCCTAGAAGCCTTTGCTAATATAGCGAGGCAGGGTTGAAGGCCCTCCCCTCAACCCTGCCATGATCCCCAGTGGTGTCTGTCTCATTTCATTTTAGTTTTCTGGCCCCTCAACTTTTGAGAAAGTAAGGGGCAGTGAACACATTTATCTGTGTATTCCTTGTGCCTAGACCAGGGCCTAGTACATAACGGGCAATCAGTAATGTTTGTTGAATGAATGGTAAATGCAATAGAGCGCCCATACCATGAAATTTTATTAAGATCTCATAGTCCTCTAAATATATAATTATTTTCTCTGTATCTAGCTTGTTCCCTCTCCCCTTGTGTTGAATTTTAAAACATTCCTACCAGAAGACACCTAAGATTAAGAGGAGCACAACCCGATGTATTAGTTTTGGCCAGTGTGGAATGCAGCTGCCTTCTTGCTTTCTGAACAAAGTGATGGAAACCAAGTATAACAGTCCTATATTCTCTCTGCTTATCAGTAGGTTTATATATATTTAGGTTGGCTTTCTTGAGTCAGAAGGCCAATGACAAATAATCCCCTTTGCCTTCAGACACATTTAGCATTCTTGAGCTTACCTTCCCACTCAACCACACCCACCGTGTTTCTGGAGTTGCTGTATGGTTTAAGTCAAAGCAGTGAGCAGCTAGTGTTACTTTATTTCCTTGTGAAAACTTCTCTGTTCCAGCCAATATCCACGCAACCTCTATTCTTTTAATATTTCCAATATTAATTGAGTTTGCTTATTCTACACACGATAGATGGCTGACCTGTAAAGATTTTCAGGCAAAGGAAAGAGCACTGGAGCCAGGCAAATAGCCTCAGTTCCTCCATTAGCTTATTATATTTGATGTCTTCAGTCCTCAATTTCTTCTCCTGAATCATGATAAGCTTGGATGGAAGAGCACCTAGGGCCCATTGCAGTTCTCAGATCCACAGGACACTCCATGTTCCTATGGTTCTCATTGAAGTTACTTGTGATGCTGGATAGAGGCTGAGGGAATTTGGCCTTCTGACTTTTGGTAGCATGTTCCCAGGACGTAGGCACTGTTAATTGTACTGTTAATTAAAGAGAAAACATTGGCATTAAAAAGAGAGTTCCTTTTTACTTAAGAAAATCTGTCTTTACTTTCCCCCTTTTTGTTTTTATCTCTTTAAATCCCATGTTGTGACCATTTTATGGAACCGCCCAAATAATCTAAGTGGGCCCTGTAATCTACCTTATTTCTTAAAAGAAGGCAATATGCTGCCTAGTCTCTAAGACTTTACATAGCTGGGTTGTATAGTCAGAATAGGCCAAATACTATACTAAATAATCTCCAAATTTCAGTGTTTTAACACAATAAAGGTGCATTTCTTACTGATATCATAATCTAGTGAGAAGTGGCAGGGGCAAAGCGTAGGGATGGATCGGGACGTGAAGGTGTCAGAGAGACTATTTCCACCATGTTCCAGGACCTCAAAGTCTTTCACTGTGTCTTTTGCTTCCACCAGCAGATACAGAAAGAGAGGGGAAGGGTAAATGGTTTTGTCGCCACATGACCAGAATTCAGTCACATGAAGAAAGTTTAACTGTACACCAAAGACAAAGAGGAAATTAGTTTAGTAATCTCTGCTGGGTCATCTAGGTATGGCAGAAATATACACAGGGAGATGTTTATATAATCAGGTAATGATACAGACAGACATATAGACTGAAAAGACTCATGAGACTGGAGGGCCACAAAGAGGGGCCAGGTGGTGATTCTGAGCTCAGACAGGGGACTTGATGCAATCCCTCTTGTTTTATAGCCAAGGAAATTATGACCCAGGTAAGTAAACTGGCTGCTCAAAGTCACCACAAATTAACTGCTTATCTGAAACAAGTACCCTTTGGTCAGCGTCCTTCCTGGCATTCGTGCAGTAGAATCACAAGTGCCAGCATTATTTGGAGAAAAGCCTACTTGGCTCTGGTTTAAGACCAAAGTGAAATATCAACCTTAATTTTTTTTTTTTTAATGGAACTGGTCTAAAAACCATATAGGATTTGAAAATTCTGAAGAACTATTGAAAGTCACCAAATGTGTAAGAGCACAGAGTAGGCATTTAATTAGAGATAGGAGACAGAGAGAGAGAGAGAAAGAGAGAGGGGGAGAGAGAGAAAGAGATATATATATATATAGAGAGAGAGAGAGCCACTAAGAAAGAGTCAAAGATCTATTAAAGAAATATTCTTTTGATACTACACCTGGCCTATTGGTTTTGCTAGCTATAGGGGTCTATAAGTTTTACTTCCTGTCTTGTAGTTCTAAGGAGAAGGAGTCCCTAAACAAATATTGACAAAGATAAAGGCTGCCTTTGGGCCGTTTGCCCCTTTGATGGTATTCGTCTTCTAACATTCAAGTTGTACCAGTGTCTCCCATCCCCCTCACCAGATAGCAATGCCTTCATTCCATTCCCTGGTCAATCTGATCACTCCATTTTCCATCCCCAAACAGACTATTATAGTTATGTGCAAAGTGCTGATTACATACATTCATTGTCTCTTTTAGAACTCACATAAATTTTAGGAGCTAAGTTTTAGTATACCAATTTTATAGATAAGAAAAAGAACAATAGATAGAGCTACCAATTATTGAATACATGCTATGTTCCAGATGCTTTATATGCTCTATCACAATTTACACGGCAATCTTGCAACATATTATTATATCACTTCCCTTTAAAATATGAGGTATCAATATCAGAGGAGTTAAATAATTTTGCCGAGATCACCAAGTTGGCAAGATAAAGAGACAGATTTTAAACTTGGGTTTATTTGATTTTAAAACCTATGTTTTCCATGGTGCCTAATAATAGCAATGATGATTTTATTATTTTTTAAAATCATTTTTACTGTTATTAATTTTTTTATTTCATAGTCTTTCCAGAGAAAATTCACATTCTCTGATGGGATTCTTAGAGGTGCAATGTTTTAAACATCATGAATAAATGTGGTAGTTCAATTTATCAGTTAGGGTGCTTTTAGCTGGACGTTAAAAAAAAATGAACAAAGATAAATGGTATAAAAAGCAAGTAAACAAGGCTATTTATTTTGCCCCTTAAGGAGAAATCCAGAGCTAAAGGAATTTTAAAGCTGGGTAATTCAGTGTCTCAGTGATGCTACCGAGAACCCAGTATCCATCCTTTCTGTTCTGTCATCTACAGTAATTTGCTTTATCTTCTTAGGCTGGTTCCCCTGATGGTACCAGATGGCTCTCTCATTCCAGGTATCTTAAGCAGGTGACAACATCCAGAGGCAGAAAATAAAACTGCTAGACTTGTGTTCATTTTTAGGAGTGAGAAAACCTTCCCAGAGCCTCACCGACAGACTTTCCTTGACATCACTTCAGCCAAAATTAGATCACATGCCCATGCCTAAACGAATCACTTTCCAAGGGGAATGGAGTTGCCATGTTTGACTAAATCACTTAAGGCTTTAATGTCCTTTGAAATAATTGACTTATCAATATCTGAGCAAAATTCAGGTTCTGTTAGGAAGAAGGATCAAGGAACATTCTAGTGGGTAAGAAGCAATAGTGATGATCGCATTCAGGCACCAGAACTTGGTGGGATAGGGATGGAGGTAGAAGCTTTCAAGTTCACACAGAGGTCTTGCCTTCCCATGAGCCCAGCCCCGCTGTGAGTCATCTTATAGAAGTAAATGCTATAAATGTTTGGGGAAGAATTTACACATTATCCCAAAGTGTTATTTTGAAATTACAAAGATTCTCAGTTGACTGACTAGAAACTATGTGGGAAAAAAAAGCCAAATTCTGACTCATTAAGGGCCACTTATGTTATTATACTGTGAACTCATGGGTCTCAAATAACTTTAGAGCCATTTAGTTCAATTCCCAGATCTTTCATTATAATGCTTGGCTTCCTTCTACAATGTCTTTTCCTCTTGATTATGTTACCTCTGCTACACAATTTGTGGCAAGAGGCTTACTACTTGTGAGGCCTCCGAGCCCAAACTAAGCCATCATAACCCCTGTGACTTGCAAGTATACATTCAGATGGCCTGAAACAACTGAAGAACCACAAAAGAAGTGAAATAACCAATTCCTGCCTTAACTGATGACATGCCACTATTGTGATTTGCTCCTGCCCCACCCTAACTGATCAATTGACCGTGTGACATTCCTTCTCCCAGAGAATGAGTCTCAGGAGCTCTGCACCAAGCACCTTGTGTCCCCCGCCCCTGCCTGCAAGAGATAACCACCTTTAACTGTAATTTTCCACTACCTACCCCAATCCAATAAAACTGCTCCACCCCATCTCCCTTTGCTGACTCCTTTTTCGGACTTAACACGCCTGCACCCAGGTGATTAAAAAGCTTTATTGCTCACACAAAGCCTGTTTGGTGGTCTCTTCACACAGACACACGTAACACTACTTACACTCTTTTATCTTTGAGGGCAATTATTTTTGTTAAAAAGTTATTTCTCATTTTAAACTGAAGTTGCTGTTATTAAATAAGTATATCTTTTACATAGACACAAATGTGCTGTGTAGAAAAAGCAGGTTTTGGAGTCAGACAGAGTAAGGTTAATATCTCGGGTTTACCAATAACTGGTTAGAGAGTTGGGAGCCCGACAATTGGCCTTAAATCTCAAATATGCTGTTTATCAGTATGTAACCTTTGGAAAGCACTTAAGTCATCCCTTTATCCCTCCATGACCCAGTTTTTGTAGCTGCAAAATAAATCCTATAGTGGTATCTCCTTAATAAGGTTAAGTCAGTCAATACATGTAAAGTCTTAGTGCTGGAGAGAAAAAATATTTCTTATTATTACCAAAACTAACTGCGAGGACATATGAAAATGGTTTGAACTCTTTGGTACTCAAGAAAATTGATATAATCATAACATACTTTTGAGGTTCTGTATAATGATTAAGTGCACAATAAGCATTAGCTTTTGACATCATTATTATTTCACAAACTCAATTGTTGGGCAGCTAATGGGATGGGGGATAGTGGAGAATACAATTATTTCGGAGCTTTACAGTACCTATTTTCTTTCTTTCCTAGCCAGAAATTCAAATGTTTACTTTTCCTCTCCCAAGATGTAAGTCATATTCACAAAGACCAGCCCGCGCAGTGGGCAGGGAGTTCTAAATGTCTTGTGGACCTATTTTCTGCGTATCTTTGCTTTGGCTGGTGTCAATTTGCAGTTTGAAGTCATGCAAATTGTGTTTTCAGTGAATTAACCTAAGTAAAAGTTTGATGACTTCTGCCCCTAAACATGCTTTGCCTAAATCACTTATTTTTGCCCTTCAAATGATAAACTGAATTGCTTATGAAATATGGCATATGTCACATTAAATCAAAACACTGATCCATTCAGTCCAACCTTTTCTTCCTGCTGCCATCTCAAGGTATGGATTGCATAAGAATTTTGTGGCATAAATTTGAAAACAAAACCAAAAACAGTTCTTCATTATCTTTTATGGATTCTCCATTATGGATTAGTCTTAATGTTTCTTGAATTTCTGTTAGGGAACACCAAGGTCCCTATTTTCTCCCCCATTTTCTTAGACTTGTGCATTTAATCACATGCCCTTGGGATCAAGCTTGTGTTTTCACTAAGGTCTTGTAACTGCTGACCTATTTCCCAGCCTCCTCCTTAGCTGACCTAAGAGGCCTGCTCAATACAATGGCTGCCCTCAGCTTTGTGGGATCTCTTCTTTTAATCTTTGGTATGCTTGAACACTAAATAACTTATTCAGATCCTGCCTGCCCAGGAAAGATGTCCGCACTTTTTTCTCTTAATACATAACTTCCTGATACCAAAGAAATCTATTTATCTAAGGAGTCAGAATTTCAGAAGCTACACTGAACTATTCTTACTTTGGGAACTAAGTGTGAAATCTGATGAATTGACTCCTACTTTTATTTTAGCTGGGCTGGGATGTCTGTATAAACAGCGTTTCTTATGACAATTTGGCAGTGCAACTTTTGGTCAGGAAGAGAATCAACAAATGCTTTATTTCTCAGTCTCCATCCTTACCCACCCTCCCCTTTACTGACCTTTCTTT